ATGTTGAATAGGTTCACATGGTAAAATCATATAGATATTTACATGGGTTTAAAATAAAATTGTTAGTTTTAAACCCATGTATATATCTATTGAATAGCATGTGTATAACTACAATTAGTTTGTTTAGATGAAATCAAATAGAAATATATTATATACTATTCGTACTATTCCGGTGAAATCAAATAGATAAATACATGGGTTTAAAAGAAAAAAAGCTATTCGTACACATGATTAATGAAGAATAAAAAAATTCCATTTTGAAAAATATGAGAACCAAAAAAATTCATTTTGTAAAATATGAGAAACGAAACAATTTATTTTGTAAAATATTAGGGACGAAAAAATTTATTTTGTAAAATGTGAAGGACTATGAATTGGATTATATAAAATTTAATTTGACAATTTTGTCCTTAAAAAATGATTACGTAAAAGGCACGTGATGGATTCTGATAAAAAAAATTAGTCGAAAATCTAGGTAAAGACCAAATTTGATCAATGTCAATTTATAAGGGACATAAAATTAAACTTTTAAAAATGAGGTGTCGCGCCCCATTTTTCGCGATGGAAAAGAAAAATAAAGTGTGAGGTTTATAAAAGATATGATTTTATTTTTAAACAAGTTAAAAGGGACCTAGAATGGGACTTGAAAAGAATGCGACAATTTGGGTCCAAAATTTAGTCTAAAAGGGTTTTTAAGAAAAAACAGGAGTCGCCACTTGGTATGGAGTTTTGGTGTACCAAGTCACCCAAAAAAATAAAGTAAAACAAAATAAAACCCTTTTTGACAACTCCAGGTCTTTGAAAACAAGAGAAAATGGATTCGGGAGTCACGGTTGAAGAAAGGGAAGGCAAAGATTCGATTAACTCAAATCTAAGGCACCCTTTCAACCTAGTCTAAGCTAGTTGCGAGGTTTAGTCAAAATTTTCCTAATCTAACCCTTAATTTATCACATTTGGATGTTTTCTATATGAATGCAAATCTAAAAAATATCGCAAGGGACAACATGTTCATTCAAGGGTTTAATTGAACCAATCGCATTAATTGCGAAGGTCAAAATAAATCCTCGAAGGTGTCACAAGGATGCAAATGATGAAAAAGAAAAGAAAATAAAAGAAAAGAAATTAAATTATATACATATATATAAGTGATCAAAGAAAAAGGGAATGCAACATAAAGGGTACGGAAGGCAAAAAAAATTCGTGACATAATTTTCTTATACATGGATTAATAGGGTATTTAAACTAGAAAGTTATAATCACCCATTTCCCATGTTTGAAAAATAATTATCCTAACATGAACAAGCAAATGAACTAGCTTAAATGGGATGCAATTCTAAATGACATGATTAGCACCTATAGCGGGTAGGGGATAATAAAATAGGGAATATCATGCAAATGAGAAAAGATCCTAAAAATGAAAATATGCATGAAAATGTGGTGAATAGCATACAATGATGAATCTAGCACAAGATGACCTAAAGGGTCTAGCGTTGGACTAGCCCATTTCTAAAAATCCTTGCTAGCGTTGGACTAGCAAGTAAGCGGAGGGAGAAACCACAACTAGCGTTGGACTAGTGTGGTGACGTCATGCATTAACAATTCATAGCGAAACAAATAAACACATAAGAGCACGTAGCACATAACACGTAAACATAATATCTAGATGCCAAAATCCTAAGAAAAGCGGACAAAACACATAACACATAAGCCACATAAACACGCAATCTATCTATTACATCGGGGGCGCCTAACTACAATCTAGAAGGGAAAAATATAATAAAACAAATCTAATTATCCTATCTATTACATTTTTGAGGTATTTAAATGCCTCTTGAATCATTATAAAAATTAACTAAAACATATATAAGAAAATTAGAATGAATATTTAAATCAAGTAAATAAAGCATATAAAAATATATAAACACATAGGAACAAATAGGAGCACATAAGAGCACGTAATTGACATTGAAATAATAAAATAGGGGTACCTCCCGTTTGAAGTGGTGACTAAATGGAGTCAAATTGTCCTATTTATACTCACAATGAACAAAAGAATCATGGCACCACTTTAATTGAAAATAATAATAATGTTAAAATACTAAATTCACATTAACATGTCAAACGCAAAGAAATTTAAGAACATCTAAAAATTGCAAGTTGAATATGTTCAAAAATAACATAATTAGTTATTAAAGAAAAGAAACAATCATAATAAAGAGAGTCAAAATTCATCAGGGACTGAATTGCAAAGATTGAAAACTTTTAGGGACAGAAGTTATATTTTTCCAAAGTTTAAGGGTCAAAATTAAATGAAAGATAAAATTCAAGGACCAAAGTGCAATTAAATTAAGTACCTAAGTGAAAGGAATTTAAAATATTCTGGGCCGAAGTGAACTACTCCAGAGATCAGGGGCTAAAGTGCAAAATTTGATTTCTGATTGGGGAGAAAAAGGCCATTGGGCCATTATTTATTTCTTTGGGCCGAAAACTACCTAAGCCCAACAGAAAATCCATAGAAACGAGCAGGCCAGCCCGTCATTTTATCACTCAAACCCGACCCAGAAATGCATGGGCTCCAGCCTCTTAGCCCATCCGAAACCCAAAAGAAAAAATAAACCAAAGCCCATTTCCAAAACCCAACCAAAACTAACTCCTGGCCCAACCGAAGAAAAAACATTAGCCCAAACCGTTTTCTTTCTTTTCTTTTCTTTCTTTTTTTTTTCTTCTTCTTCTTTCTTTTCTTTCTTCCCCGTTCGTTCCGTCTCTTCTTCTTCCCAGGCGAGCTGAAGCTTCAGCTGGCGGCCATGGTGGTCGCCGGTGGCGCCGCCGCCGCCGACCGCTACCGCCGGTGACCTCTCCGGTTACCAAAAATCCTCAAAATATATCCCCTCACTCGATTTTTCGCGTAGGTTCCATTTCCGGAGTTAGTTTTTACAAAAGATGATCTGAAAGTGGCCAAAAAGTCAAAATACAGTCCAGTTTTTATTTTTTAAAACACCCAAATCTTTCACCAAAAATCATAAAAAATATATTACAATGCTCCTTATAACCTCTATAATACAACTATGATTTTAATTTGACAAGAAAACAACATAAAGAGACTAGAATAAAGCAAAACAGCCCCTAAAATTCATTTTTTCCATTTTGGCATTTTCACAAACACTTGACATGCATTCATAGGCCCGTTTCTTTTTTCTTAGTTATGTGCATGAATTGTCCCAAAAATTAGCAACCCAACAACCAAGGAAACCAGCAAAAGCAAAAGAAAATTAAACAATGAAGCATGGATTTAATGTGCTAAACAAAACTAAAAATTACCTCAATGTAGGTGGCAATCGCTTGGTTGAAGTTTCTGATGCAAAGCTCCAATTATCCAACTGGTTGCTGCCTTGTTGTGTGCAAAATGTGTTGGAAAAATATTGGGAGAGATGAGAGCCGAGAGAAGGAGAGGCGTTATTCTTTTTTTTTCTTTTTTTTCGGTTGAGAGACCAGAGAAAGAGCCGAGGGAGTTTTTTTTTTCTTGTCTGTTTTTGTTTCTTGTCCCTGTGTCAGGGAGAGAACCGAGAGTGTGCTGAATTGAGGGAGTAGTTTTTCTTGAGCCCCAAAAGTGCCGTTCTTTTTTTTTGTCAGTCCCTGAGATTCAGGAGGGAACCAAGGGATTTTTGTCAAATGGGTTTTGGTTTGTTCTTTCTTTTTTTTCTTTTCTTTTCTTTTTTTTTTTTAAGATAAACCTACAAAAATGAGACAAAATATACTTAAAATACAAGAAAACAAATGATTCATCAAATAGAAAATATTCAATAAAACATAAAATTTGACAAAAATTTGGCAAAAATTTGGTGTCTACATGAGGGATGAAAAAATTATTTTACAAAATGTGAGGGACGTTTTGAATGATTTTTCGATTCTGTAATTCTTAGTAATCCCTTATTCTTTTTCTTGTCTCTTTTGTTTTCTATATTTTTTTTAAAAAGAATTTAGTATCATGGTATCAATGGTTAGAAACAAGAAACTATTATCTCTGAAGACCAATGCTTTGACATAAAGCATGCATCAAAAAAACAAAATGCATCTGCTCACATGCTTGTTGAGAAAGGAGGATAACAAAATCAAAGCAGGAAAATTAAAAAGATACCTAAAAAAGTTTCTCTCACTATTTATGAAAACTGTTGTCTTGAATGAAATTTAGAGAGACAGAGAAACATATATGTAGCTATGTCCTTTTTAAAAAAAAAAAAAAAAAACAACAACAACAAAGAAAGAAAGCTTTGAACCCTGGCAGGAAAAAACAAAGACACAATCCATTGTTAAGGGAAAACATCTCGAGAGAGTCCACTTAAGAGTCCAATATGTAAGTCAAGAATTCAACTCTGACCCAAAACTTAAGCTATTAGGTATTGCGCCCTTACTTACATATTAACTGCTCTTTCTTTTTCTTTCGGACCAATGTGGGGCACAACCCTTTACTCATAAACCTAATAAATCTCCCCCTTCATGAGTAACCCCCACATTAAACCGAAGTTTACAAGCCCTTTTTCGAGCTCACTTTAATACTCAACACAAGCCCACCTTATCACTTAAGGTCACCTCTTATTCCAAACATGGACCCACTCTTCTTTAACATCCAAACTACATTTTGGATCCTTGCCAACCCATGGCACACCTGATCCAACACCAACCAAACTCCTTGGCACTTCGGTCCACTATCAAGAAGAGAATTTTTCACCGATCCAACTTCGAGAAGAATCCACTTGCCCATGAGTAGTCCAGTCTCACAACCTGAAACTCTAATATCAATTTATTAGGGAGAAACACGTTGAGAGAGTCCACCTAAGAGCCCAATATGTAAGTTAGGAATCCAACTCTAACCCAAAAATTTAAGTTATTAGATTTTGGGCCCTTACTTACATATTAACCGCTCTTTTTTCTTCTCTCGGACCAATATGGAACACAACCCTTTACTCATGAACCTAACAGGTATGATATTTGAGAATGATAGAATGGGGCAAGAACCACTGATGGATGTTGCTGAGCGTTACTTGGAAGAATTAGCAAAAAGATGTATGGTTGAGATTGAAGCACATGACGAGAGAAAGCATGCAGTAACAAGGTTGAAGTCATGTCGGCTTCATGATCTTGTGAGAGATCTATGCTTGGTCAAAGCAAAAGAGGAGAATTTGTATAAGATGGTCGATAAAAGAACTTCACGAGATTTTTCTCCTGCAATTGATGCACATTATGGTTTGGTTTTTCGTTTGGATGTAAAGGATATCTCTGAACCCAACTTTCCACCAAAAGAACAAACTAAACATCTTCGCTCATTCTTGTGTGATCTATTGCAAGACAATTGGGAGATTTTTCAGGGGTGAGAACAATGTCCCAAGTCAAGAATTTGAAGATGCTTAGAGTTTTGGCAATTTTAGCCTTCGATATGACCTCCGGAAGTGGTTTTCTCAAATCACATCTAAACTTGCCATATACCTTGGGCAATTTAAGGTACTTGAAAACTCTCGATTTACCCGGTAGTCATTGTTGTAGAATTCCAAACGTGCTATGGAAATTGGGTCATTTGAGATATCTTTAATTTTCGGACTCGCAGGACCCTCACCCTAAGTTGTGATTGAGCAAGCAGCTAGAGATACTTGAATCATTCCATAACAGATTTTGCTATCCTGAAGATGTATGCAAATTATCGAATCTCAGAGCTTTCAAAGCAACAGTGCATAAAAATTTTGAGGACTTGGAACACATCATCAATCATATATAAAACTTGGCATGCATGTGCATTAGCTCACTTAAAATGGAGAGCTGTAATTTTGGCTAAATCAACTTCAATAATTCGAATGACAACAACAGGGGTTTGGATGTTCTTTCACGGGTGTTGTTTAGTAGGAATATTCATGAATTAGAAATTGACCGTAGTTTATGCAAGAAGTTACCGGATTATCAATCCCATATATTTCCTGACCCTGCAGGACTTACTCAATTAAAGCTGCATACTAATAATATTGAGGAAGACCCAATGGGAACACTCGAGAAGCTTCCTAACCTAAGAATACCGGAACTTGGGCCAAATTCATTTCTAGGCCAAGAAATGACCTGCCACTCAATTGGATTTCCCCAACTACAACATCTCGTGCTTAATTTTTTGGGCAACTTGAAGCAGTGGAAAGTGGATGATGGGGCCATGCCTAAACTCTCAAGTTTACGGATTGAGTACTGTACAAAGTTGGAAATGATTCCAGATGGGTTGAGATGTTTAACCAATCTAAAAGAGATATCTCTTTTGGAAATGCCGGAAAAATTCAACAATAGAGTTAGGATAGAGAATGGTCAACAAGGAAAAGATTATGATAAAATAAGCCATGTGCCTTTAGTTAATATCCGCAGGTACTCTTTTTCTTGTTTTATTTTTTCCTCCGATTTTTCTCTTTTGATTTTCAATTTAGGGGTTCTTGGAATTCTCTTTTTCTTAACACCTAGTTCCAATCTCAATTTTGATAAGCTTCACCAACATGAATCGATATTTTCTTTTGTGTTTTTAATATCTCTTTTTCATTTTCGAAAGAGCTGGATCATACTACTTGTTGTGTGAGATTTTTATTTTTATTTTTTAGTTTTAGCTTCCAAATATTTATTTTTCTTTATATAAGACATCATCTAATGCAATTCTTGTTCCATGACTGATTAGGAAATTTGGTGAAGGGGAACTAATTTTATATATGAGTGCACCACCTTTTGGCTTCTGAGGTAAAATCAAAAGAATTTATTTCCTCGTGTTTGGAAATGGGTTGATGTAATCTGTCATAAATTAAATTTAATGGATTAGTATGTGTTACCATTATATAATGTTCTCATCAACAATGTTGCATAGCTAAAAAATGCCTATTGACTGTTTAAACTATTCGTGCTTCCCATGTAGTAGTTGATTTAAATTGTTATCTTCAATCAAGTATCTTGGATTAAACTTAAAATCTGTTTAGAATTTGATAGCAAAGAAGGATCATGTTGCCCTCAAATCTCATTGATATCAAAACCAACAATAAGAGCTCGTGTTAATTCAATCAAGACTATTTACTTCAAGTACAAATAGCTTAATTCAATACAACTATTTAAATTAACTAGTTGCCCGATATTTTCATAATTTGTTTCTTTACTAATGTGTCATGAAATCAAGGTTTATGTCATAAAAGTCAATACTGTTTTTAAAATAATTTGGAGATATCTTGCTCAGATAATTTGGAGACCAGAGTCACAGTTTCAAATAATCTGTTTCTTGAAGACCAGAATCAAGAGAGCAAATTGGCACCATGGTACCCGGGGATGGATGTTAGGATCCAAGTACGGAACAAACAACTATTGAGATATCAAGTGTACATCAATTTAATGGTAAATAAGATACAAGCATGAAAGTTAGACGACATACAATATTTAACGTGGTTCGGCTCCACCATTGAGCCTATATCCACGGAGAGAAACACGTTTTTTATTATGAGAGAAAAACCCTATACAAGAATATAACTTGAATTCAAATTCAACCTTTATATACCATCTCTCATCTCTCAAAAACCCTTTCTCACATCCCATGTATAAGATTACACGATCCCTTGTGTCTCCTTGTGTGTTTTTGTGTAGTATACCAACCCACCTATTTATAGGTAATATTATTTGGCCAAAACCCAAATAACAATAGGAAACTAATTCTAATTCCCACACTTGTAGGAAATAAGTTCTAATTCTAAACTAAATAGAATATTCATTGGCTACTACTTCAAGTAACTAAAATCAATTAGAAAACTAATTACTTCCACACAAAACAAAAAATCTATCTAAAAGAAATCAAGCCAATTTCCTAACAAATCTCCACCTTGACGAAAATTTCTTTTAACAACTATTTGCCTTCAACTACTAAATAATATGGTACCGAACTACATTCCCGAATTAATACAGTTCTGACACCAAATTAATTCAATCGACAAATGAACATGTGTAGTTACTCGAATCCAACCTCTAGTTGACTCGTGAGAAAGTGTCTCAATTCATCATCTCCCTTTGTAGGATTTTTTCTCACCACAACTTGCAATCCGGGATCCCCTTCTGTGAGCTCTAACCCTAACCATTGAGGCGACCAAGTGGTACAATCACCATATTTCTTCCCATTCTCAAGACTGTTTCGTCACGTGTGATTTTCAAAACTCCACCTAAAACGAAAAACTTGTAACTGTCAAAGACTTCTAGCACATGGAAATTAGATCACTTTATTTTTTTGGTACATGTGCCACACCACCCAAAAAACATAACCAATATCTAAAAGCCATTGAGATGAAATATCAACCGTTGGAGGTGTCAGAAAGTCTCCACCAATTCATGTCCAAAATCAATATTGGATTCCACATTTTCCTTGACCTTTGAATCACCTGCCTAAATTCACCGTCAAGCATCTCCATGCTTTTCGACTTCCCATCCTTCACCATCAATGTTTTTTGCCAAACCATTGAAACAATGATACCACTCATTAAATTGTTCAATTAGTAACAACTAATAATCCACTTGATCTCAATAGTTAATTAGGATCCAACCATGAACTTTGCTCTATTGTCCAGTCTCGCTACCAAACTCTGATACTACTTGTTAGGATCTAAGTGCGGAACAAACAACTATTGAGATATCAAGTGTACAACAATTTAATGGTAAACAAGATACAAGTATGAAAGTTAGACGACACACAATATTTAACGTAGTTCGGCTCCACCATTGAGCCTACATCCATGGAGAGAAACCCGTTCTTTATTATGAGAGAAAAACTCTATACAAGAATACAACTTGAATACAAACCCAACTCTTGTATACCATTTTTCATCTCCCAAGAGCCCTCTCTCACACCCCGTGTATAAGGCTACATGATGCCCTTATGTCTCCTTGTATGTCTTTGTGTAGCATGCCAATCCATCTATTTATAGGGAATATTATTTGGCCAAAACCCAAATAATAATAGGAAATCAATTCTAATTCCTACACTTGTAGAAAATAACTTCTAATCCTAAACTAAATAGAATATTCATTGGCTACTATTTCAAGTAACTAAAACCAATTAGAAAACTAATTACTTCCACACAAAACAAGAAATCTATCTAAAAGAAATTAAACCAATTTCCTAACAATACCTTCACCTATCCACATCTGATATAAACTCTCTACTCCAATGTCGGAATCTTCCCTGCATTTACCCCAAGTAAAGGAAGCATGGTTTTAGTTGCGAATGGAGGTCATAGTAACTATAAATTAAAACCTTTGATACCTCTCCTTCTTTTCCAATTTTTTCTCCCCTATCCAGATAGAATTTGATATTCTCATGCACTGCATTCCATTCCTTGAGACTTTTTTTAGTTCTAAGATTTCCACCAAGAACTACCACAACCAATGGAAGACCCCCACAATTTTTCAACATTTTCTTTCCTAACTTTTCCATCTTGGCCAAATCTTCACAACTTGTGTAGCATTAAATCTTCACAACTTGTGTAGCATTAAACAAAACTAATTTAATATCAACAACGATGCATCTATCATTCATTTCTCATATAATCCTTGGTTCAATCATAGTAGATCTTCCATAATCAGAAATAAGCATTATGGTTATCATTCAACAACTATACGAAAACCTTAACGGACTATTAATCAAACAAGTCTCCTGACCCAAAGACTTGAGACATATCAATAGTCTTGGAACCAAAGACATGTTAGTTTTTTCTTTTTAAACTACTGGATTGTATGAATTTGATTAAAAATAGATCAAGTTGTTTAAGTAAATGGTAACAATGCAAAAGGATCATGTTTCCGTTGTGGTATTTCAATTAGGGCTGTAAATAGAATCAAATAGCTTGGTACTCGAGTTAAACTCGGCTTGAATCATCTCGTTTAAACTTGTTTGTTTATGTATCAATTCGAGCCCGAACATGATTTCTAATTTGAAAATATTAACGAACTAATCACGATCTTCACGTTATTCAGCTCAATATGTTCAAGAACATATAAGGCAAGTAAATTTCATAAAAATATGGCTAGTGTTTCCTTTCTTAATTCCACTTCTTTCATTCCCCGTATATTGCTTATCTTATAAAATAGCATGCATATAACTCTCTTGTCTCTTGAATATAACATGATTAAAATTGAAAATATATATAATTAGGAAAATTTGTTGTTATTGTTATCCAAACTTTCAAACTTTTTAAAAATTGAAAATGATTAAAAACTTATAATACAACAAAATTTTATTACATATTTTACAAGGTTATGTGAAGAGTCGAACTATTTTTCATAGTATTTTAAAATATATAAATACAAAAAATTTTAAGTTATACATATAATCATGTATTATACAGGTATATTATGAGTGCTTACTAACTAATGTACTAAATTTTAATCATTAATAAAACATCTTATCATTATTTCAAATAAATTTCCTAATACTAGTTTGAGATAAGTTTTTAAAGTAAAATAGTACATGTGTCCCATAAATCAGTAAAGTTTGATCATTAACCAAATTACCATATTATCAGTAAGAATTACTATGTATGTATAAAACTTACTATTACTTGAACTAAACTTACTCTCTAAAATAAAAATGAATGTAATTGAATGTTGTTAAAATAAAATTCTTACAAATATTATGCATTCGATTTGATAATCTTGCATGAAGGTGTGAACACTCTTCACACCAATCAACCTTTAGTGCGAAAATCAAAATTGGTGATTTAATTAATTCTGTTGAATTTTGTGGAGTGCGTGCAAATGAAAATGCACGATCTTTGTATGAATTGATTCGTTGATTGAACAACTTATCACCATTTTTCTGAAAATTAAGTACGTACGAAATTCAAAATTAGTGTATTTTTTACATAGTTTATAAGTATCATTATAAAAAATAAATATATATCAAGAAATTCTACCTTCCTTTGTAATTTTCTGAGATAAGAAGTATCACAAGCAAATACAAATCATGCATGTCTGTCTTGTAGATTAAGATTTATGTTACCACTAGAATTTCTGATTTTTATGTTAATATTGTATTGGTTTGACAAATAAAATGTACAATCTAGAAAAATGTGTTGAAATTAAAAGTACATGAAATTAATTACTTAACAACAGTGTCGACCACGTCATTATAATTCAGACCAAAGTAACAAAAATCAGATAATTACAATCTTTTTATGATAAAAAAACATTAACTCTTTTGGCCTAAAGGTATGGAAACTGTCATCATGACAATATCAAATACTAAACATAGTTATCGAACTCCAAGAATCCAAACTAAAGTCGCAAACAATCTAAAGATGTAATTTTTCTATCGCAAAAAATTTCTCATATCAAATTCCATCATTTTTGTATTTGGAGGGAACTTGATTCCATCAAAAGTCAAATACCAATATTTGTGCCATAGGAAAAAAGATGACATAAAAACAGTGATGGATATCTATTGGTCTAACCATAAAATAAATTTTTATACTTACTGTTGCGTAATAAGTTGTTATTGAATCATGGGAAAATGAGTCTAAAACGATGACCTATTACCTAACATTTCACTTCTATTTAAAGACGAAAGACAAAAACAACAATAATCAATCAAAAATATTACATTATTGGGAATAATATTTAAAAAAACAATGGAAATGCAAATGTTTAAAGAATAAATAGTACCGAAATTCCTAATTTGAGGCGAATGACATTTTAATCGGTGTAGTTGGGATTTTGTCTTTCGAATTTGATGTGAGATTTCTCTTTTGTCAACGCAAAATTGCTGAAACTTTTCAAATTGTTGTGTGAAATCATTCCGGTTTACATTTTGTTTTCTAAATAAATGTTTTCTCCTTTGCAATCTTGCGAGTTTGAAATTTAGCTCTCGTTGAAATGCTTGAAGGCGGGCATGTTCCATAGTGAAATTAGGTTAAGGGCTATGGAATTGGGACATTTGAGATATCATTAATTTCGGACTCAGAGGACCCTCACCCCAAGTTGCGATTGAGCAAGCAGCTAGAGATACTTGAATCATTCCATAACAGATTTTGCTATCCTGAAGATGTATGCAAATTATCGAATCTCAGAGCTTTCAAAGCAACAGTGCATAAAAATTTTGAGGACTTGGAACACATCATCAATCATATATAAAACTTGGCATGCATGTGCATTAGCTCACTTAAAATCGAGAGTTGTAATTTTGGCTAGATCAACTCCAATAATTCGAATGACAACAACAGGGGTTTGGATGTTCTTTCACGGGTGTTGTTTAGTAGGAATATTTATGAATTAGAAATTGACCGTAGTTTATGCAAGAATTTACCGGATTACCAATCCAATATATTTCCTGACCCTGCAGGACTTGCTCAATTAAAGTTGCATACTACTAATATTGAGGAAGACCCAATGGGAACACTTGAGAAGCTTCCTAATCTAAGAATACTGGAACTTAGGCCAAATTCATTTCTGGGCGAAGAAATGACCTGCCACTCAATTGGATTTCCCCAACTACAACATCTCGTGCTTAATTTTTTGGGCAACTTGAAACAGTGGAAAGTGGATAATGGGGCCATGCCTAAACTCTCAAGTTTACGGATTGAGTACTGTACAAAGTTGGAAATGATTCCAGATGGGTTGAGATGTTTAACCAATCTAAAAGAGATATCTCTTTTGGAAATGCCGGAAAAATTCAACAATAGAGTTAGGATAGAGAATAGTCAACAAGGAAAAGATTATGATAAAATAAGCCATGTGCCTTTAGTTAATATCCGCAGGTACTCTTTTTCTTGTTTTATTTTTTCCTCCGATTTTTCTCTTTTGATTTTCAATTTAGGGTTCTTGGAATTCTCTTTTTCTTAACACCTAGTTCCAATCTCAAGTTTGATAAGCTTCACCAACATGAATCGATATTTTCTTTTGTGTTTTTAATATCTCTTTTTCCTTTTCGAAAGAGCTGGATCATACTAATTGTTGTGTGAGGTTTTTATTTTTATTTTTTAGTTTTAGCTTCCAAATATTTATTTTTCTTTATATAAGACATCATCTAATGCAATTCTTGTTCCATGACTGATTAGGAAATTTGGTGAAGGGGAGCTAATTTTATATATGAGTGCACCGCCTTTCGGCTTCTGAGGTAAAATCAAAAGAATTTATTTTCTCGTGTTTGGAAATGGGTTGATGTAATCTGTCATAAATTAAATTTAATGGATTAGTATGTGTTACCATCATATAATGTTCTCATCAACAATGTTGCATAGCTAAAAAATGCCTATTGACTGTTTAAACTATTTGTGCTTCCCATGTAGTAGTTGATTTAAATTGTCATCTTCAATCAAGTATCTTGGATTAAACTTAAAATACTATTGAATAATATTGTACCGAACTACATACCCGAATTAATACAGTTCTGACACCAAATTGATTCAATCGGCAAATGAACATGTGTAGTTACCCCGAGTCCAACCTCCAGTTGATTCGTTAAAAGGTGTCTCAATTCACCTTCTCCCTTTGTAGGATTTTTTCTCACCACAACTTGCAATCCGGGATCTCTTTCTGTGAGCTCTAACCCTAACCATTGAGGCAACCAAGTGGTGCAATCACCATACTTCTTCCCATTCTCAAGACTGTCTCGCCACGTGTGGTTTCCAAAACTCCACGTAAAACGAAAAACTTGTAACTGTCAAAGACTTCTAGCGCATGGAAATTAGATCTCTTTTTTTCTTTGGTACATGTGCCACACCACCCAAAAAACATAACCAAGATCTAAAAGCCATTGAGATGAAGTATCAACCGTTGGAGGTGTGAGAAAGTCTCCTCCGATTCATATCCAAAATCAACATTGGACTCCACCTTTTCCTTGACCTTTGAATCACCTGCCTAAATTCACCGTCAAGCATTTCCATGCTTTTCGACTTCCTATCCTTCACCATCAATGCTTTTTGCCAAACCATTGAAACAAGGATACCACTCATTAAATTGTTCAATTAGTAACAACTACTAATCCACTTGATCTCAATAGTTAATTAGGATCCAACCATGAACTTTGCTCTATTGTCCAGACTCGCTACCAAGCTCTGATACCACTTATTAGGATTTAAGTGCGGAACAAACAACTATTGAGATATCAAGTGTACAACAATTTAATGGTAAACAAGATACAAGCATGAAAGTTAGACGACACACAATATTTAATGTTGTTCGACTCCACCATTGAGCTTACATCCATGGAGAGAAACCCGTTCTTTATTATGAGAGAAAAACTCTATATAAGAATACAACTTGAATACAAACTCAACCCTTGTATACCATTTTTCATCTCCCAAGAGCCTTCTCTCACACCCCATGTATAAGGCTACATGATGCCCTTATGTCTCCTTGTGTGTCTTTGTGTAGCATGTCAACCCATCTATTTATAGGAAATATTATTTGGCCAAAATCCAAATTATATTGGGAAATCAATTCTAATTCCTACACTTGTAGAAAATAACTTCTAATCCTAAACTAAATAGAATATTCATTTGCTACTACTTCAAGTAACTAAAACCAATTAGAAAACTAATTATTTCCACACAAAACAAGAAATCTATCTAAAAGAAATTAAACCAATTTCCTAACAATACTTTCACCTATCCAGATCTGATATAAACTCTCTACTCCAATGTCGGAATCTTCCCTGAATTTACCCCAAGTAAAGGAAGCATGGTTTTAGTTGCCAAGGGAGGTCATAGTAACTATAAACTAAAACCTTTGATACCTCTCCTTCTTTTCCAATTTTTTCTCCCCTATCCAGATAGAATTTGATATTCTCATGCACTGCATTCCATTCCTTGAGGCTTTTTTTAGTTCTAAGATTTCCACCCAGAACCACCACAACCAATCGAAGACCCCCACAATTTTTCAACATTTTCTTTCCTAACTTTTGCATCTTGGTCAAATCTTCACAACCTGTGTAGCATTAAACAAAACTAATTTAATATCAACAACGATGCATCTATCATTCATTTCTCATATAATCCTTGGTTCAATCATAGTAGATCTTCCATAATCAGAAATAAGCATTATGGTTATCATTCAACAACTATACGAAAACCTTAACGGACTATTAATCAAACAAGTCTCCTGACCCAAAGACTTGAGACATATCAATAGTCTTGGAACCAAAGACATGTTAGTTTTTTCTTTTTAATCTACTGGATTGTATGAATCTGAGAAAAAAAAGAACAAGTTGTTTAAGTAAATGGTAACAATGCAAAAGGATCATGTTTCCTTTGTGGTATTTCAATTAGGGTTGTAAATAGAATCAAGTAGCTTGGTACTCGAGTTAAACTCGGCTTGAACCATCTCGTTTAAACTTGTTTGTTTATGTATCAATTCGAGCCCGAACATGATTTCTAATTTGAAAATATTAACGAACTAATCACGATCTTCACGTTATTCAGCTCAATATGTTCAAGAACATATAAGGCAAGTAAATTTTATAAAAAATATGCCTAGAGTTTCCTTTCTTAATTCCACTTCTTTCATTCCCCGTATATTACTTATCTTATAAAATAGCAAGCATATAACTCTCTTGTCTCTTGAATACAACATGATTAAAATTGAAAATATATATAATTAGGAAGATTTGTTGTTATTGTTATCCAAACTTTCAAACTTTTTAAAAATTGAAAATGATTAAAAACTTATACTCCCTCCGTCCCATTGTTAATGTCATGTTTCACCTTTTTCATTGTCCCAAAATTAGAGTCACGCTACACTATTTTCCTTCTAATGTTCCGTCCTTACCCTCACAGTGCATGTGCTAGAAAATTCAAATAAATTTGGTGGGACCTGCTATTTATTATCCATTTGGAGAAGCCAGAGGAGTACGTGAGACTAACTCTCACTTTATAAGGCCAATAATAGCGCGTGTCTCTAACATACAAAGGGATGCTTTTGGTTAAGATGGGACCCACGAAATCATTACTCCATGAAAAACACAAAGTGCAGCTGACCATTGTACTTGCGACGGGGTAAATTTGGAACAAAGACTTGGCTGTCAATAATGATACCACTGTACATAAAAAGTTGCATTCCCTATAAACGTCTCTAATATTGGGACGGAGGGAGTACTACAACAAAACTTTATTACATATTTTACAAGGTTATGTGAAGAGTCGAACTATTTTTCATAGTATTTTAAAATATATAAACACAAAAAATTTTAAGTTATACATATAATCATGTATTATACAGGTATATTATGAGTACTTACTAACTAATGTACTAAGTTTTAATCATTAATAAAACATCTTATCATTATTTCAAATAAACTTCCTAATACTAGTTTGAGATAATTTTTTAAAGTAAAATAGTACATGTGTCCCATAAATCAGTAAATTTTGATCATTAATCAAATTTACCATGTTATCAGTAAGAATTACTATGTATGTATAAAAACTTACTATTATTTGAACTAAATTTACTCTCTAAAATAAAAATGAATGTAATTGAATGTTGTTAAAATGAAATACTTACAAATATTATGCATTCGATTTGATAATCTTGCATGAAGGTGCGAACACTCTTCACACCAATCAACTTTTAGTGCAAAAATCAAAATTGGTGATTTAATTAATTCTGTTGAATTTTGTGGAGTGCGTACAAATAAAAATGCACGATCTTTGTATGAATTGATTCGTTGATTGAACAATTTATCACCATTTTCCTGAAGATTAAGTACATACGAAATTCAAAATTAGTGTATTTTTTTTACATAGTTTATAAGTAGCATTATAAAAAATAAATATATATCAAGAAATTCTACCTTCCTTTGTAATTTTCTGAGATAAGAAGTATCATAAGCAAATACGAATCATGCATGTCTGTCTTGTAGATTAAGATGTATGTTACCACTGGGATTTCTGATTTTTATGTTAACATTGTATTGGTTTGACAAATAAAATGTACAATACAGAAAAATATGTTGAAATTAAAAGTACATGAAATTAATTACTTAACAACTGTGTTGACCACGTCATTATAATGCAGACCAAAGTAACAAAAATCAGATAATTACAATCTTTTTGTGATAAGAAAACATTAACTCTTTTGGCCTAAAGGTACGGAAATTGTCATCATGACAATATCAAATATTAAACATAGTTATCGAACTCCAAGAATCCAAACTAAAGTCGCAAACAATCTGAAGATGTAAATTTTCTATCGTAAAAAATTTCTCATATCAAATTCCATCATTTTTGTGTTTGGAGGGAACTTGATTCCATCAAAAGTCAAATACCAATATTTGTGCCATAGGAAAAAAGATGACATAAAAACAGTGATGGATATCTATTGGTCTAACCATAAAATAAATTTTTACACTTACTGTTGCGGAATAAGTTGTTATTGAATCATGAGAAAATGAGTCTAAAACGATGACCTATTACCTAACATTTCACTTCTATTTAAAGACGAAAGACAAAAACAGCAATAATCAATAAAAAATATTACATTATTGGAAATAATATTTAAAAAACAATGGAAATGCAAATGTTTAAAGAATAAACAGTACCGAAATTTCTAATTTGAGGCGAACGACATTTTAATCGGTGTAGTTGGGATTTTGTCTTTCGAATTTGATGTGAGATTTCTCTTTTGCCAACGCAAAATTGCTGAAACTTTTCAAACTGCTGTGTGAAATCGTTCCGGTTTACATTTTGTTTTCTAAACAAATTTTTTCTCCTTTGCAATCTTGCGAGTTTAAAATTTAGCTCTCGTTGAAATGTTTGTAGGTGGGTATGTTCCATAGTGAAATTCGGTTAAGGGCTAAGATGGATACGATAAAGAAGTTGAAGGAGATAATAAGTTCTTAGAAAAAACACAAGAAAGTTCTCTTAATTGGAGTGAGCATGCAAAAAAATTGAATGAGGATGCTATGTTTTGGAGGACTTTTAATTGGAGTGGAATTCTTAAATTGAAGGACTGTTAATTGGAGTGGAAAAGTGGGGGAATGTAGGAAAAACGTGAGTATGATTATAGGATTTTTAGGAGTGGTTATAGGATTAGTTAAGAGACAAACATTTCTTAAATTACACATAACTCTTAATTGGAGTGGGAAACATGGGAAAAATATGGGGAAAATGTGAGTATGATTATAGGATTTATAGTATACTCAATAACTTGATAGTATACTCAAATCATGGATGAGGTAAAGTCTGCCTAAATAAGCTTTACAGTGTCCTAATTCCTTGCAAAAAAAAAGGCGTTAAATAGTCCTAATTGGCATTGCAATTTACGACAACGTGCCAGTGGCATCTAGTCCTAATTTTTTTTTGGGTCAAAATCTAGTCCTAATTGGTTCTGCTGTTTCTTGATCATGTTGTATCCTTCCAAATTCTACTTAGCGTATAATAATTGATAATGGCTTATTCTATTCTTTCATGGTATTGGACAGGTGAAAACCACACCAGAAGTGTGGTAAATTTACTATAAACTCCAAATATTATCTCCCCAAATTTTTGTATACTTCTTAAAAAATTTAAACTTTTGTCAACAATAGGCTGGTCACACAAATAAAAAAAAAGGGACTGGTCACACATCTCATTCTTTGCCCTAAAGAATTAATTTAGCAAATTTCTTAGAATAATGGTGAAAAAAATCATAACAATGGAGGAACCTGGGTTTGTTTCTTTTTTTTTTTTTTGGATCTGAAACAACCCTATTCATTTTTAAAAAATAAATAAATTGGCCATCTTACGTTCATTAATAAAGGGAAAATTTTTTGGTCATTGCATATGGATGCCCGGCCATCCTAAATGGGAAAAAAAACAGTTGTTCGGTTCTTGTGATTTTTTTTAGGGTTAAATATAGTAAGCCCCTTAACTTTACATTTAGTTGCACTTTATCCCCTCAACTTTACATTTAGTTGCACATTTGTGATTTTTTTGAAACATGATTGTAATTTGCAAAGTTCATTTGTAGGGGTGGTTATAGGATTAGTTTAGTGATAAATATTTCTTAATTATAAAAATTTTAAATTGTATTAAAATAGCATACGAATGAGCATTTGTCTTTTATTAAGGAGTAAAAAAGATTTAAAGTATAAATAACAAACTATAAATGGTTTATGAAGTAGATAGTGGGAAAGTTTTAAATTTTAAATTTGACTGGTGATAGGGTTGGTTATAACCCATTACTTTTTATGTATTAAAATAAATACAAAAATTTAGAAAAAAGAATGAGAAGTTTGGAAGCCATTGAAAGACTCTCTCCTGAAAACCCCCTCTGCAATAGATATAGATATAGATTATGAGATCACTGTCATGAGTACAATCATGAATAATATGTGAAAGCAAGGATTTTATTTGTGAACGTGTGGCAGTTTTGTTTTTGTTCATATCTTTTTGTATAAGAAAAAGAAAAACAAAAAATAACTACAAACAACATATATGAAATCTACGAATCCTAAACCTCACTCACAGTAGGGAGCACTCTAAAAGTCCTTCCCTGACTATTGGGCTAACCCCAGTGATTTATAACTTGAAACTTTAAGATTTTCCAAGAAGCATATAAGAATTAAAAATAGAAATGTGAAATTTTTTTTGAACTTTCAGTCATAGCGTCGGCAACAATCTTATTTTGTAGCCACCCCCATCTTAATTCAACTATAATTAATTTTGCTCTCTCTCGAGTTATGGGATTATTGTAGAATTAATTAGCTGTGGGTAATGTTTATTTTCCTAAATTTATACTGCATTATTTAGCATATTGAGTGGGCCACGCATGAGACAATGGACAGGAATAGGTCAATAGTTTAATATGTGTGTCGTACTACAAATGCGTAGGGGGTGCTATCAAGCTACATAGCTTGCAAGCGGTTTGGTCAAAAGCTTGTCTCGAACTCGGTTTAATCGAGTTTGAGTATAAATTTATTAAAATATACAATATATTTTAGATTTTTAATTTTTTACATTTTAGATTTATCAGATTATCATTTTGCCATCCATCACTTTTTTTACTGAACATTACTTCACGTAAATTTATTAAAATATGAACCCATAATAATCATTCGATAGTTAAAATATACAATATATAAATAATATAAATACTCGATTAAGCTCATCAAGTACTCAAGTATTTATTTCTGATACTCGAACTCGACTCGTTGTTCGAGCATGAGCTCGAAGTGCTTGTTACGTGTAACAAGTGAATTGATGGCTCCAGCCATATTAGTTTACTTTTTTGCCTTTAGAGATGCTAATTTTATGGCCTCGTTTCTTCCTAATTATGCCTAATTTCATAAGTTTGGTTTGTTAAATCATTTCTTGAGCATCGGAAGATGGTACATGCTAGTTTGCCTGTTAGTCACCTTCCCCATGGGCTAGCTTATTTTTTTATTTGTTTTATATATAATTATAATATATACTAGTGTTTCTGTTGCATCTTCTTGCATATACATATGGACGGATTGGAATTAAAACAGATGAAGACATTAATTGTTTGTGTGCAGTTTTGTCGTGCTCTTGTGGGTTGGTTTTTTTGGTGCTTAAAACAGCTACTAAAGTTAGGTACTCCTTGGATACTCTTCATTTTTTCGCTTACATTCATGAATTGTTCCTCTACTTCTACTAAATATCTAAATGATGTTTCATTCTGCCCAAGCCAACTAATGGTAGGTAGGGTGCATATGCTCGAAAACGGGCTCAAAATTGCAACCAACCATTTGGCAGAAGTATGCAAGGTCCGAGAGGAACAACAAAGGTTGGCCAGTGAGTTGATAAATGAATTAGATAATTGGCTTGACAACCATGATGTCGACGAAGAGTAGTTATTGGTGATGAAAGATAATCGCAGAAAACGATCACAATATTGACAAGTAACCGATAGGATATTGGAGCTAAATCATATTATCAACTGCTAATTAGTCAAAACGTAAGCAACAAGATTTGGGGAACATCATCCATATTGTGCAGAACCAGCAGGGATGTCAAAACTGTATGGGCATTGAGCTATTTCGTTCCAGATAGAAGGGTTGTTTTTTATGAGACCAAAAGTTTTGATGCGATGGCTCAAAGGATTGCGCACGAAAAAAGGTTGTTGGTTGACTTCAGAAGGATTCATCTCTTCGAGATTGATGATGATGAGGATTATTGATGATGATGAAGGAGATTAGTCCATAGGCTCCAAAATTAACAAGGAAGAGAAGTACTGGATTTATGATGAATTAGTAAAACTGAGTATTATTTCCTAGCTACTGTTTTTGAGTATTGTTTCCTATTACTGGACGTGTGTGATGAATGATTGCCTTTCTATATGTATTTTTCCATTTTTAACGAAAATGGGTATTGTAGTTTGATTACGTTTTTCCTCCCAATCTTTTTTATATTTGCAATGATTGAAATTCCTATTTACGCACCACTTTTCTGTTTCTTTTATCTGTTTATTTTTTAAATTGTTGATTTTCGTTCTATCTGACATACCAGTGTGCTTGTTGGTCACCTTCTCCATGAGTTAGTTTATTCACTTATTTGTTCTATATATAATATATATATATAATAGTGTTCCTGCAATATCTTCTTGCATATACATTTGAAGGAATTGGAATTAAAACAGAGGAAGACATTAATTGTTTGTGTGTTGCTTTGTCCTGTTCTAGCGGGTTTGTTTCGTTTAGTACTTAAAACAGCTACTAAAGTCAAGTACCCCTTGGATACTCTTCATTTTTCGCTTACATTCATGAATTATTTCTCTACCTTTACTAAATGTCTAAATGATGTTTTATTTTGCTCAAACCAACTAATGGCAAGCAGGGTGCATGTGCTTGAAAAAGGGCTGAAAACTGCAGCCAACCATTCGCAGAAGCATGCGAGACCCAAGAGGACCTACAAAGGTTGGCTAGTGAGTGGATGGATGTACTTGATAATTAGCTTAACAACTATGATGTTGACAAAGAGTGGTTATTGGTGATGGAAGATAATCGCAAAACACGATCACCACACTGTCAGACAACATATAGGATATCGAAACTAAATCATATCATCAACTGCTAATCAATCAAAATGTAGGCAACGGGATTTGGGAAACGTCGTCTACATTGTGCAGAACCAATAGGGATGTCAAAGCTGTATGGACATTGAACTATTTCATTTCGAATATAAGGGTTATTTTATATGAGACCAAAAGTCCTGAAGCGATGAGTCAAAAGATTGCACATGAAAAAAGGTTATCGGTTGACTTCAGGAGGATTCGTCCCACCTTGATTGATGATGATGAGGATTATTGATGATGATGAAGGGGATTAGTCCATAAACTCCAAAATTAATGAGGAAAAAAAGTACTGAATTTGTGATGAATTAATAAGATTGACTATTGTTTCCTAACTACTTTTTTTGAGTATTGTTTTCTAGTATTGGACGTGTGTGATGAATGAGTGTAATTATCTTTCTATATGTATTTTGTCATTTTTAACAAAAGGTTATTGTAGATAGATGTTTACATTTTTTCTCCTAATTTTTTTATATTTGCAATATTTAAAATTCCCATTTATCAGCATTTACCGGCATATTGACCTCTTTTCTACTTCTTTTGTCTATTTGTTGTAAATTTACTGATTTTCTTTCTACCTGACATGTTAGTTTGCCTTTTTGTGACCTTTACTATGAGTTAGTTTATTTTCTTATTTGTTCTATATATAATATATATACTAGTATTTCTGCGGCATTTTCTTGCATATACATTTGGAGGGATTGGAATTAAAATAGAGGAAAACATTAATTATTTGTGCGATGCTTTGTCCTATTCTTGCGAGTTTATTTCGTTTGGTAGTTAAAATAGCTACTAAAGTCAGGTACCCCTTGGATATTCACCATTTTTTCGCTTAAATTCATGAATTGCTCTTCTACCTCTATTAAATATTTACATGATGTTTCATTTTGACCAATCCAACTAATTATAGGCAGGGTGCATGTACTCGAATTATGGCTCAAAATTGCAGCCAACTATTTGGCAGAAGTACACGGGACCCAAGAGGAACAATAGAGGTTGACCAGTGAGTTGATGGATGAACTCGATAATTGGCTTGACAACCATGATGTCGGCGAACAGGGAAGATAATCGTAGAACATGATCACATCACTGCCAGGCAACCGATAGGATATCTGAACGAAATTATTTCATCAACTGCTAATTAGTCAAAACGTACACAACAGGATTTGGGGAACGTCATCCACATTGTGCAGAACTAGTAGGGATGTCAAAGTTGTATGGGCATTAAGTTATTCCGTTCCGAATATGAGATTTATTTTTGATGAGTTCAAAAGTCCTGATGCGATGGTTCAAAGGATTGCGCTCGAAAAAAGGTTACCGGTTGACATCAGGAGGATTCGTCCCACCTAGATTGATGATGATGAGAATTATTGATGATAATGAAGGGGATTAGTCCATAAACTCTCAAATTAATGAGGAAAAGAAGTACTGAATTTGTGATAAATTAGCAAGATTGAGTATTGTCTGCTGATGACTTTTATTTGGGTATTGTTTCTTAGTACTGGACATGTGTGATGAATGAGTGTAATTATCTTTCTATATGTATTTTTTCATTTTAGCGAAAAAGGGCAACGTAGATATATGTTTACGTTTTTCCTCCTAATCTTTTTTATATTTGCAACGTTTGAAATCTCATTTACTAATATTTACAATCATTGCACCTTTTTTTTTGTTTCTTTTGTTTGTTTGTTTTTAAATTTGCAGTTTTTCTTTCTAACTGACATGCCTATTCGTCTGTTTGTCACCTACACCATGAGTTAGCTTACTCTCTTATTTGTTCTATATATAATATATATATATATATATATATATATATATATATATATATATATATATATATATATATGTACTAGTGTTTCTGCAGTATCTTCTTACATATACATTTAGAGGGATTGGTATTAAAATGGAGGAAGATATTAATTGTCTGTGTGCTGCTTTGTCTTATTCTTACGAATTTGTTTCATTTGATGGTTAAAGCTACTACTAAAATCAGGTAACCCTTGTATATTCGCCTTTTTTTTCGCTTAAATTCATGAATTGTTCCTCTACCTCTATTAAATGTCTAAATGATGTTTCATTTTGACCAAACCAACTATGACAGGCAGGGTGCATATGCTCGAACAATGGTTCAAAACTGCACCCAACTATTTGGCAGAAACACGCGAGACCCGAGAGGAAGAACAGATGTTGGCCAGTGAGTTGATGGATGAACTCGATAATTGACTTAACAATGATGATGTTGACGAAGAGTGGTTATTGGTGATGGAAGATAATCGCAAAATACGATCACAACACCACCTGGCAACCGATAGGATATCAGAACTAAATCATATCATCAATTGCTTATTAGTTAAAACATATGCAACATGATTTGGGAAATGTCATCCATATTGTCCAGGACCAGTAGGATGTCAAAACTAGGACTGTCAATGGGGTTGGGCCAGCCCGAGCTCGGCTCGTTCGGCCCGACAGAAAACCCGATGAGTCCGATCATTTAGTGAGCCGGTTTGAACTTGAGCCTAAAAATTAGGCCCGAATTAAATGTGAGCCGAGTTTGGGCCTTATTAGGCTCAAATCCGATATAGGCCCGGCCCTTTAATTTGATATTATGTATAATTATATATATAATATTTATATTTTGATATTATGTATAATTATATATCCAAATATATTTTTACTAAATACTAAATATATATATAAATTACAAAACACAAAAATACATCTAAAGACTCTTTCATGAGCTTTCTTGAGAGCCAATATTAGTAATGCATAACGAAATTTCTAATTTTTCTTATTGGTTGAGTAAATTTTTGTATTGGCATATTATTGGTTGATTTTTTTTTTGTCTACAAACACAAAAATCATCAAGCATATTTGGATTTAAATCACAAGATTATAAAAAAAAGTTTCAACTTTTAAAAATGTATTGGCTTATGATCGCATGTTTTATTATTATTTTTCATGCATTTTAAACGGATTAAATATAAATATTGTTGAAAAAGTTTTTGGTTTATATACTTTTTAAGAACTATTATTTGTTCATGTTTAGTTTTAATATTATAATCTTGTGAATGTTAAATTAGTTTTACAACTTAATAGTTATAGTAATTATATTAAGAAAATTAAGGAGTAATAAGTGAGATTGGGCTAAGCCCGATTAAGGCTCACAACCCGAATATTATGTGAGTTGAGTATGAGTTTCACATTTACGAACCCGAAACTCATAGCCCGAAGCCCAAAAATATTTCAAATTAAATGAGTTGAATTTGAACTCATCAAAACCCGGCTCATTAGTCCCGATTGACAGGCCTAGTCAAAACTGTACGGGCATTGAGTTATTTCGTTTCGGATATAAGGGTTGTTTTTAATGAGTCAAAAAGTCTTGATGTGATGGCTCAAAGAATTGCACACGAAAAAAGATTGTCGGTTGAGTTAAGAAGGATTGTCCCTCTGAGATTGATGATGATGAGGATTATTGATGATGATGAAGGGGATTAGTCCATAGGCTCAAAAATTAATGTAGAAGAAAAGTACTGAATTTGTAAAAGATGTGATTTTATTTAAAATAAGTGAAAAAGGACCTAGAATGAGAGTTAAAAAAAATGTGACAGTTTGGGTCCAAAATTGAGTCTAAAAGTGTTTTTAAGCAAAATAGGAATCACCACTTGGTATTGAGTTTGAGTGTAGCAAATCACCCAAAAATATTTTTAACAAAAATACAATAAAATAAAACCCTTTTCGACAACTCCAGATCTTTGAAAAATAAAAGAAAATGAGTTTGGGAGTCACAATTGAAGAAAGGAAGGCAAAGGTTCGATTGACTCGAATCTAAGGCACTCTTTCAACCTAGCCTAAATTAGTTGCGAGGTTTAGTAAAAAAATTTTCTAATCTAACTCTTAAATGTATCACATTTGGATGTTTCCTACATGGATGCAAATCTAAATTTAGAAAATATCGGAAGGGATAAAATATCCATTCAAGGATTTAATTGATATCAATTGCATTAATTGTGAAGGCCAAAATAACTCCTTAAATGGGTCACGAGTATACGAATAATAAAATTAAAAAAATAAAATTATATATCTGGATATAAGTGACCAAAGAATAG